GTTCGGTGATCCCGTGCCGTCAAAAGTTTGTAGCGTCGGGACTTCGAATTTTGGAGGATAAGGGGCTGCATCCCATTCGGCAGGATAGGGCCTGACAACTTCCTCATCTTGGAGCTCGCTTCTGTCAGCAATGGCATTGAGACGGGCTTCCAATTCTTCCATTTTGATCGATTGAGGATTCTGCTCATTCTCGGTCTCTCTTCCTTCATCAGAGGAAGATTCCATGTTATGGGCTTCTTGGTCAGAAGCAGCACCATCAACCACTTTTTCCTTCCCTTTGCTTGTGTGAAGTCGGGATGAAGACGTTTTTCCTCTCCGGGAGGATTCTTGCCTAGGTGGCGAATCTGTCTTCTGAGATTTAGCCTTGTCTGCGATGAGTTGATTCAACAAGGCCATGAGTTCATTGATGGCCTCTTGTTGAGATTTGAGCATGGCCTCCTGCTCATCAAGTCTCTTCGCGAGATCTTCATGGCTTTCTGTCATATAGGCGGAGCTCTCATGTTCAACAAAAGAGCTTGATGATTGGGACTCTGCAATGACTGAGTGTTCATCATCGGAATCAGTTTCTCTGGCCAAACTCCGATAGTTGACAGGGGGAATGGCTCATGTTCGCGTCCGAGTATGTTGATAAACTCCATCAGACTTATTCAGGAAGTCTTTCAAGCCAGGAGACTGATCGTTCTCTGACTCATCGGAACTAGGAACTGATGATCTCCCTCTGCCGATCATGTTAGAAGTGACTCTAAGGTATTCATCCTCAGAAGTCTTCTTCTTGTGTGAACGCCGTCGTTGGTTGAATAAAGCAACGTTCGTAGATTGGTTGAACACCAGCAGTTGGGCCGCATATGACAGCGAGCCGGGGGTCCAGGGGGCGGCGCGCCCCTGGCCAGGGGGTCCGGGGGGGATGGAATACCCCCCTGCGGGGTTCGGCGCAGCGCCCCGAAGCTCCACGGTATACACCAGGTTCCATATTGAATTTCGTCACCCGAACGCATGCCTGAGTTGTAAGGACTAGAGAATTACTCACTGATCGTGAGGTTTGAATTGGAACCCCCAGTCTATGATTAGACATGACTGTCTCTTGGTGAACATGGATCTGGTTGAGATGCCTTGACTCCATGGACTTCTCATATCCGCCCCTCAATCCAGTTGTGCTACGCAGAGTATTCGGGGGTCTCGTTGCCCGGTCAGCGAGCCGGGGGTCCAGGGGGCGGCGCGCCCCTGGTCGGGGGGTCCGGGGGGTGGAATACCCCCCGGCGGGGTTGCGTTTAGGCTCACAAACACGAAGCTCATGTTGACTTGAGGATCGGTATTCTCGGAGATGTGCTCGTCGTAAGGATCTCCTCCTCCGTCGAGCGACGTTCTTCTTAGCCTGCTTCAAGGCCTTGGCAGCAACACCTTCAACTCGGTGGATGAGTTTGGCCGAGGCTGAGCCCACTCCATCGGGGGAGGGGCTGTCTGAGCAGTCTTCCTTAGGCGGCTTCGGCATAGGAGCAACAGTTGGAGCTTTAGTCTCTTTGGAGACTTTGTGGATCTTGCGCATAGCCTTGGGGCTAAGGGATCCGGAGGAGAGGGCCTCCTCAAACTTGGCTTGATCAAACTCTACCACGAGAGTTTCGACGGTTGTTCCAGTGAGATGAACATCGAATTGCGCCACCACTTCTTCGTCAGAGAAGCTTGTCCCCAGCAGAGTTGCCATCTTTTGTTTGTGGAAAAATTTGTAGTAAAAGAAACGAAGGAAAATTGATTTGTATTCCTTTAATCTCAGTTACAATTGGATTTTCTGATTACAAAAGAGAAGAGAATGATCTGGATTCTCCCCTTTGTTTAATTCTGGGTTCTTCACGGTGGCGATGGAGTGCCTCCCTCGAATGCTCGCGTCGAGTTTGCTCTCCGTTGACGATTCGATGTCTTGTTTCACTGGAACGTGGTCTTCTCCTCACGATTTGACGTTGTGGAGAACTTACGTGGCAAGTTTAAAACTCTGGACGAGTTGATAACTCTGAATGAGTTTAAACTCTATGAAAGAGTTAATTTAACCGAAAGTCGGTTATAAGCCAAGGATGAAAAAGATCTTGTTGCAGATCTCCAAAGCTCCAGAAATGCTCTAAGGATCCTGTTGACTAGCCAAGAAGTTCCAACCGACCGAACCCCGAAAGATCCAGCCCCGAACTAAGTTGATTTCTTAGTTATTTATAGGGGATTAAGGGGTGTAACCACCTCCTTAATTCGCTCCTAAGTGGGGCTAATGGGATGTAACTGCCCCTTAAATCACTCCTGAGTGGAGTTGTGATCCCCTCAGATCGTGGGAAACGGTTTTGAAACCGTTCAACTCGTGTTTGAACGAGTCAAACGCAGATCCTGCATTCTGGCATGAATTCTGTGTCCAAACGCAGTGTCTGGAAGCTTGAACGCAGTGATTGGAAGCTGCGTTTGCAGCGGATGAAAGCTGCGTTTGGCAGCGGTATAGAGCTGCGTTGGGCAGCGCTTGGAGCTGTGTTGAGCTGCGTTGGGCAGCGCTTGGAGCTGCGTTGAGCAGCGATATTGAGCTGCGTTGTGCAGCGATGTTGAGCTGCGTCGGGCAGCGATGTTGAGCTGCGTCGGGCAGCGAATAGAGCTGTGTCTAATGGCGATTTAAGCTGCGTTTGCAACTTTTGGAGCTGCATTTGAGCTGCGTTCGTGGCTATGAACGCGGCGCATCTTGATGCTGGTACGCGGGGAGGACTTCCACGTCTTGATTTGAAGAGACCATTGATTTGTAGTCTCTTTCTGTCGAAGCGTTGCAAAGATCATCATTTTGTAATCTTTACTTTAGCTCTTTGATATGCAAGAGTCGTCAGATTGTAACTCTCGATGTTGATGGTGAAGGCTGTTAAACTAGAGCTCTCATCGGTTGTCGTGAAGGTCGTCAGATTGTAACCTTCAGCGATATACGTGAAAGTCTTCAAATTGTAGCATTCTGGAAGTCGTCAGATTGTAACTTCCATCATCGGTGTTTGATGGGGATCAGCTATCAATTGTGATTTTTAGACAGCCTACAATCATCAAACTGAGCTTATTGAAATCAGTAGTAGTAAAGGCAGATAAGAAGAAGGACTAAAATTGCTAACCAGAATAGTAGGTGGTTTGATGGAGTATGTGAAACAAATCATATTTCTAACCTAATATTACTTAAATAAAGGATCTAATCCAAAATTGAAAGGCATTAGTTTATCTAGTTAGAAGGTAATCGGTAGAACATTATCAATAAGTGAATCTATCATCAGCAACTAAGGCAACATATTGTGACATTGTCCTGTTGGTAGAACATTATCAATAAGTGAATCTATCATCAGCAACTAAGGCAACATATTGTGACATTGTCCTGTTGCTACGAAATAATAACACAAAAGGCAGAACCATATTGTTTGTATAATGTGTTTTGTAACAGCAGTATACAACTTTGACAATAAAAATGTAAACTTTAGGAAGTAGCAACACGAGCTCTTAACAATAGATGTTTAATTTTCAAGCATAACTCAGTAAAGAGCAGAAATAAATCATCATACCCATAAACAATAACCCACTCCTCTTCACCCGACATCCCGTCCCTCGCCGGGACCCGCTGGCTTGTCGTCGGACCACAACCAACACCGACCGAAGCATGTCACCACCCCCATCCAGTCTGTCGACCCTTCTCCTCTCCTCACCGGGGCGGGGCCCACCTTCCCCCATCGCGCCAACGTTCTTCTCGCGCCACGTCCGCCAACTCCTCTTCCGCCGCCGCCCTCGTCCTGATCGGTGATGGGGTAGAGAAGTAATTTCGTGTCGGTGTCGGGGTTTTCGTCTCGGGCGATATCGGTACCTCATGGATGGCAGGTTCGGGAGAGAAATCGACGCGATCTTCCAAGGTGAAGACCGGAGGCGGTGGAGGGTCATCGGAGGTGCTGAAGTTTTCGCGCCAAAGGGCGGAGCCACCAGTGGTTTGGCCAGAGACGACGAAGCGAGAGGATCTGTGGGCGGAGACTGGGGATGCAAGATCGCGGAAGCCAAAAAGGCATTTCCAATGGTAAAGAGTTTGCACAAAATAGTTTTTTTAATAGATTTTTTAATTTAATAATTTGATTAAAAAAAGAAGAAATTGTCAAGTGGCATTTCCAATGGTAAAGAGTCATAAGGGTTTTTTTCTTTCCAATGAACAGATACGCGGAAGCCAAAAAGACATTTCCAATGGTAAAGAGTTTGCACATATTAGTTTTTTAATAGATTTTTAATTTAATAATTTGATTTAAAAAAGAAGAAATTGCCAAGTGGCATTTCCAAAGGTAAGAGTTTTTAGTAATAGATATAGATTTTTAATTTAATAATTTGATTTAAAAAAGAAGAAATTGCCAAGTGACATTTCCAAAGATAAGAGTTTTTAGTAATAGATATAGATTTGCGCTACTCTTCATTGACTTTTTTTTAATAGTATAGATAGTATACAATAGTATAGCATACATAGACACATATGTCTGGCTATTTAAGTCTCTAATTAAATCTACATTGTCCTAGCTATGCGCATCTCAATCTTTTTTTAATTCAAATTAAATTCTCTAATTCATTAACAGTGTGTTTGGGGTGTAAGATTTTGGCTCAAATTTTCCATTCATTTCCTTCCTCTACCCTCCTAAATGGTACTCCCAAACAATGATAAAATTAGATTTTTCTTCCCCTCCCCCTCTCTATCCTCCATCCAAACAGACCATAATTGAAATTATATAAGCCTGCTTAGTTGGAAAGAATACCCGTAAAGTCCAAATTATTACCGAATTGTTGTTTAATTCAATTAACTTAATATCTCAAGAGATTACTCGAAAATTAAGTTTCAACAATATATCTAAAAGATAGATCAGAAAAAAAAAACACAGATCATCATCATAAAGTTAAAGCAGTATCCATTTCTCAAGATATATAATTATAAGAGGGAGGTATTATTGAACAAACTTTTATCCCAATATCATAAAACCACCGGGCTCTCATCTTCAATACTCAGTCAATAAAAGCATAGTTTAGCATTTTTTTTTGAAACATAGTTATATTTTTTTAAGCGTCAAGACTATCTACTCACATTAAAACATAAAAAAAAAATTTACAATTTTATTTTGCGTACGCCTCAAACTCGAACTATAAATATAAAAAACGTAAACACCAGCTCACAAAGGCCCAAATTCAATCCCCACGCGGGTCGACCCCGACGGACTTGAGCGACTCCGCGCTTTTCGGGCCGCTAAACGGGTTAGCCCGGGTCGGGTCGGATGACACCCCGGACTTAACCCGATCCCCATCAATCTGGATGTGGGCCAGCCTTCGGAAAAAGGACTTTTTGATGAGCTTCTCGGATTCGGACAGCGCCCAATCCGGCTCCGAAACCACGGGCATCTCCTCGCGGCGCTTCTTGCTGAAGGAGACGGTCGGGCTGTGGACGATCTGCTGCTTCACGGTGTGGACACCGAAGAGCCCGACGAGGGCCACGAAGCCCCATATCGCGTATATGGGTATCATATCTGCATTGCTATTCTCCAACAAAATATTACATTGTTACTTTGTTTTCATATCAAATGTTTGGAATCGGCTACATAAATCTTATTCTTCCGCTCCATTCATATAGGGATATATGGTGTCCTTAAAAAAATAATAAGCAACCAAATAATAATTTCTTTTGTTGCATTTTGTCCTCCATCAAATTCTCTTCAATATGCATGAGGGGAAAAAAAAGATTTTGAGTACGAATTTTTAGAGATTTAGCAAGCTTCAAAATACAAGCTACGAACCAAAAAAAAAAAACCTTGTAGTATCATTGTTGTTCAATTGTTACAGATAACCCCCTACTTAATTTTTTTGACTCTTTTATCCTCTGATAGACTTAATAATATCACCAATGATGAAGGATTCAAAATGTTTTAATCTAGGTCGTATATATGCAAAAGATAAAACTACACGGATTGTGAGTTCAAAACAACAATTAAACTCATTCTCATTTTGACACCACCGAAGTATTTTTTTTAAACACTCTAATACAATAAAGTTTCTGTACAATTTCACTTTTGACACCGCCGTCAGATTTAATTTGTTTATACAAACGTTAAATTTGTACCGGTAATTAGAATATATGGCAACTGGGTACAATTGATCTAGACTTATTTTCGTATGGTACAAATTTAACAGATAGAAGTATGGGCGGATTTAGGAAAATGATAGGGACACACCCTCAACCATAACTTCAACCACATCCCTCTCTCATTTGCTATAGTGCATCGGACCCAATATGGGATTTTAAAATTTTAAAATCCCATGTGAGCTCGGTGCACTATAGCAAATGAGAGAGGGGATGTGGTTGGAATTGTGGTTGGGGGTGTGCCCCTAGTGCCACCCGCGGAGTTATCAGAATGAAATAAGATTAAAACTTTGAGATATAAAAATATTAAAAATAAAAAAACTTTGTCGCGTCAAAGTGAAAAACAGATAAACTTTGAGGTACCGCAGTGTAAATAAGCTTAAAGATTATTTTTGCAATTCTGAGGAAACGAGACAAGATAAATTACGCACAATGTCTTACTAGCATGTTTCTCGCCTTGGTTCATCAAATCCCCCGCCGCCGGTGAATTTAGCTTCATCCTCGGCGCCGTCACGGTCACAAATGGGCGGCGCTGGTCAGCAACGGACCTCCACAACTTCTACAAAATTTCCAATAATAATAATAATAATGCAACAAATTTTTATTGCATTAGTCCCCTTCATCATTTATACATCGAAATCTAGCCCCCCAGATCTTTCATATACTGGAACTAGTCTTCCGAATTTTGATACTAGCCCTACAAAATTTTAATTGTTTTGAAATTAGTCCCCAAAATCTTTTAAATGATTTAAAAGATTTGACGGGCTAATTTCAAAACATGAAAGATTTTTGGGGGTGTGGCTAAAAAACAAAAGAGAATCCAACATAAATTACTGGCCATTACTAGTACTCACATTAGCCCTTGAGGCCATGATCAGAGTGAAGACGGTAAGTATATGTTGGTGCTTATAATTTACTTTTAAGTTTTGCCCTTAATTCGTTGGTATTTATAAGCATTTAATAATGGGAAGCAGAAGAGAGGAGGGAATTGTGGAAGTTGATGGGCCTCACTTAAGGTTTGGCGTGAAATGTGGATCCCCTTGACTTGGTTCGGTGGTCAGTTTTTTTTTTTTACCTTTTTTTAAAAAGCCTTCCCTCGTGTGAAAATGAACCAAACAAATCTGGCCCTAAAAAAATGAAAAGTTTCCAGATGATCCAAAATATGGGAACAACAGCGGGGACAGGTGAGGTGTCTCACTCCTATTACATAATGAGCTAGTCATCATTAATGATGACATGTGGACACCTCACCTATCCCCCCTATTGATTTTATATTTTGGGTCCCTATAGCAAAGCTCTGAAAAAATTTTGGGAGTCGGGGAAAAAAAAAGGCCATGTACATATAGAAACAAGTATAGCTAGACATAAACCAAACGAGGTTTAACTGAAAGCTAATCCGTATAGAAACTACTTTAGTCTAATTAAGGCTATGCGTAACTGGATAAAAATTAAACCGGGTAAGTTTCTAAGTTGCTAAACACTCCCTAGGTTTATTGTTGGGCTGTCTTTTTCCCACTAAATTTGTTTAAGGAAGTTGACAAGAAGGTCTTTAGGGGTTGTTTGGTCACTGCGGTTGCAAATGCAGCTCCGATTACGGATGACCTCTGACAAACTCTCAACATAATTTCTACACGTGCAGATATTTCAGACACCCAACCCAAGAACCAGATGTAAAGTCGGGGAAGAAAGCAGCCCCTCATCAATCCTCAACAAACTCATCCAAACACGGATACATATTGACTGTGTGATCACTTAACATCAACAACAAGTATCTTCTAATCTTAGAGTACATTGCCAACACTAATTTGCTATCATTATAACCCAACCATTGATGGCTCCATCTTACAAAGATAAATGGTAAATTTCCCATGATTATATGATGATAAATCCTACCAAAATAGTATCTTCTATTTGAATCAGAAAATACATGCACTTCTCAAATGATAGGATGATAGAGAATCCTAACAAAACATAAACAGACATGAACCCTGCACGCGCACAGATAAACACACTTTCTTCATTCAAATTATGATCAAACAATAATCAAGCGCTCTTAACTTATTCTCAGAAATATCTCGTAAACCAAGATCTAAATGGTAAAAATATATATATATAAAGTTCTTGCTCCAATCAAGACTTTTAAACCACCAACCATAAAAATGAAGTTCCACGATCATGTGTGATAACGTCTTCGAGTTTCATCAATTTATGCACCCAATTTGTTCGACGTCAACTACAAACAAGAAGCTCCCAATATCATCCAACAAATTATTTTCACTTAAACCACTTGAGATCCAATCATCCAAGCGAAGGGAGGTCAAGTACGTGGAGCATTTTTGACAATTCAATACAACTAACATCATTTCAAGGTCTGCTCAACTCCAAACTTAAAATGTTGTGCTACTTAAAACAACTAAATTGTAGGAACGCTTATTTTGCATCATTTTCCTCGGTATTCTCACCATAACGTCGCTTGAACTTTGCGATCTGGCCGAGGCTCTGAGCCATCTGACGCTTAGCCCTGAAATGGTACACTTTACCAACATGGTGAATTTTAGTCATCAGCACGTGCATCAGCCTCCCGCTTTGAGTCACATAAGAAACATACTGCAGCTGAGGATGCATCCCTTTCTTCATGTTTTTGACCTGACAACCAACAAATCATATTAAGTTCCAGGTAATGGTAATTTGATCGTGTACTAAATTTCTGCTGCAATCATAAGTCTGAAGAAAAGTTATACTTATTCAAGTTAAATATGATATAGGACATAATCATAACTTATCATGTCTGAGCTGAGTTACAAAACAAAAGCACATGAGGGTTTATGTTTAGTTCTTTCTTTTCTCCCTTTCTTATTTCGCCAAGAGAACAAGAGGTTTAGTTGATTAGAACCTTGCATCCGTTCATGTTGCGGCTCTCAAACTATTTATCAGAATAGGTCGTCCGGTAATATAATCTCACAATTTAATGGCTAATCACGCTGGGAGGAGATCTTCTCCATCTAGAGTGGAAATATTAGTTCTGGTTACTTCAGGCTGTTTATATACTATGCATTTCTATCTTTTCAATAAACAAGAAGTTTCTTCCATAGTAAAGGCTGTAACAAGCACATGTCTGGAGCCTACTTGATTGATTGCGAATCAGTAACCATTATCGTCAAACCTGATGACCGTATCTCAACCCTTCCAACCCCAACCCCTCTATAAAGATGAAACCAAGCTTAAAATGACTTAATCGATCCCAAGCTCTCAAACCCAATTGATATTCATAAAAAAAATCAAAACATGCTACGTACAATGTTATCAACGCGCAAGGCGCAATGCAGGGCGCAAAATCCCCTTATTCGCAGAATGCACAAGGAATAATACGATGCGCACGCATCAGTGAAGAAAGGCAAGTACGTCAAATTAAAAAAAATGCTTTTTGATTTGGTATAAAATAGTTGTCAAGATAAATAAGTCACATGTTAAACTGCAAAATAAGGTTCTAATTCATAATCATAACACTAGTTAGTAGTTATAACTTATAAGAGAGTTAATGACAACTTAGCATTACCCTTCCGCATTTCCAGTAATTCATCACAATGAAGTTATTTAACAGACTTTTTCTATAAAATCGTACGTTCAGAATTACAAACATTCTATGAAGCAAAATATGTGTAAGCCTTGATTTAAAGATGCTTCAACAGAAAGCAAACACACGTAATCAAGTTAGTATTATTTATAATTGTTGAACATCGCAATATCGAAAAAAATAGCAAGGACTGTTCTAGTCATAGTAATAACGGTAGCAAAAATGGAGGAAAAGAATCGGGTCGTAGACAAAATTTTGGGAAAGAGGAGAATCGGAACAAGAAAATATTGACAAAAGAGCAAGGGGATGAAGAGAAATAAGAGAATGTAGTAGTAATAGCAGAACAGTGAGTCGCATCAAGGTGCGAGGCTCGCGCCTAACTTACCTAATGTGCTCCGCATCTCATGCAGGGTGCAGTTTCAGCGCCCCAAAGTGCCCAATGCCCAAGGTGATTGCCCCGGAGCGCCCAAGGTGATTGCTCCGGGGCACCCGAGATAAGTGGCTACGTATATAATTTCTTTCTAATTTTATTCTATATACTAATATATTTTGTCATATACATAAACAATTAGATGCACCGTGATGGTCACCACCAACCTACTGTTGTGCGCAGCGGAAATTTCGACAGCACCTCCGGTGCGCAAGGTGCACAACAAGAGATTAGATCACAATGAAATTCTCGTTTCTCAAAGGAAACAAGAACCAAAAGCCAGATATCTCATCAAAGTGAGATATCAGCTCTTCCTCTCGTCAGCTCTAAGACTGTGCGTCGAGGGAACCTACAAGCTATTACAAATCACGGCAAGGACATAACTTTTACGTGGTTCGGCAAATAGCCTACGTCCACGGGGCAAGGAGGGGGAGATCTACTATTAGAGGAAGAGATACAATTGGGGTTTACAATCTCACAAATAAGACCCTCTCACAAACTCTCAGATCCCTCACACAAATACTCTCTTAAATGGATACACAAAAAACTAAAAAACAGCGGCTTCGTTTTTCTTCTGCAGTTTCGTCCGCCGCACCCGCTGCCAATTGCTGCTGCAAACTTCAGCCGCCAATGATTTCCCCGTGCTCCTTCACAAATCAGCCGCTACCCCAAAAGAAAAAACCTAAATCACTTGATATATATATAAGACTTGGGTGGACCGCATTATTTGGGTGGGCCTCCTGCAAATCCGCGCTCACAATTCTCCATCTCGGTGAAGTTTCTTTCAAAACTGAGCCGACACCAAAGCATCCAAAAGTCCCACTTGTTCGACAACAAGTCGGGAACCCGAACGAGAGTCCAAACAATCTCACCCCATCAAAATCAACTCACCAAACCGGCTGCATCATAAAGACTGCCTACGTATCCTCTTGCCCAAGGAATCAAGCCGTCCGTAGTTCATCCAATGGCCTCGAAAGGCCTCAACATCGAAGAATGTTCAAAAGCTCCAAACAATGATCAAACTTAACACCTGAAACAACTTTGGTCAACATATCTGCAGGGTTGTCCTTCGTGTGGATCTTCTCCAACATGACGTCTCCTTCATCCAAAACGTCACGAACAAAATGAAATCTGACATCGATATGCTTCGTGCGTGCATGATAAACCTGGTTCTTCGCCAAATAAATAGCTGACATGCTATCACAATATACCCGAAGAGTCTCCTGTGCAATCCCCAAGTTCTCCAATAATCCCTGCAACCACAAAGCCTCCTTCACAGCTTCAGTCAACGCCATATACTCTGCCTCCGTAGTGGAGAGAGCCACTGTAGACTGAAGTGTGCATCTCCAACACACCGGTGCTCCTGCTAGTGTAAACACATATCCGCTAGTAGACCGGCGCTTATCCAAATCCCCCGCATAATCAGAATCCACGTAACCAATACAATCCTGCCCGTTCTTCCCATTCTTCTCGAACACCAAACCAACATCCACGGTCCCTTTAATATACCGTAGAATCCACTTCACGGCCTCCCAATGACCCTTCCCGAGGTCGTGCATGTATCTAGATACCATGCTCACGGCCTGTGACAAATCTGACCTTGTACACACCATCGCATACATCAAGCTACCCACAACATTAGCATATGGAACTTTGGACATGTATTCACGAACTGAAACAGGTGACATCTTAGCTGATAGCTTAAAGTAGGGAGCTAATGGAGTACTCACCGTCTTGGTATTGCCATTATAACTGAATTTCTTTAGTATCTTCTGTAAGTAACTCCTCTGTGTCACCTTTAACCTCCCTTTCACCCTGTCTCTCTCAATCTCCATACCCAATATCTTCTTTGCTTCTCCAAGATCCTTCATCTCAAATTCGGATGACAGTTCATTTTTTAACTTTTTAATAGCTGAAGTATTCCTGGAAGCTATGAGCATATCGTCAACATATAACAGCAAATAGATATACTCACCATTCTGTAGCTTATGCATATAAACACACGGGTCATATGGGCTCCTCGTGTACCCTCGGCCAATCATAAAACCGTCAAATCTCTTGTACCATTGTCGTGGCGATTGCTTCAATCCGTAAAGTGACTTCTTCAGCTTGCATACTAATTCTTCCTTTCCTGCAGCTTTGAACCCCATAGGTTGTGTCATGTAGATCTCCTCTTCTAAATCTCCATGTAGAAAGGCTGTTTTCACATCCATCTGGACCAAATCCAAATCCAGTTGTGCCACCAATGCCAATAAAATACGAATCGACGAATGCTTTACAACATGTGAGAATACCTCGTTGTAATCAACGCCCTCAAGCTGTGTATAACCCTTGACAACCAATCTGGCTTTGTACCGAATGTTCCCAATAGAAGATCCTTCTTTCTTTGCATATACCCACTTGCATCCAATAACCTTCTTACCCTTCGGTAGTTTTGCAAGTTCCCAAGTGCCGTTCTTATGAAGAGACTGCATCTCCTCCTCCATGGATTCCCTCCACCTAATCGAATCAGAGCTTGACTCTGCTTCCTTAAATGTAGAAGGAACCAAATCATCAACGACTAATCAGAGCTTGACTCTGCTTCCTTAAATGTAGAAGGAACCAAATCATCAACGACTTCTGCTGATAAAGCATATGCAACCATGACATCGTCATATCTAGCTGGCCGACGAATGTTTCTTCTTGGTCTATTAGCTGCAATGGACTCCTGAACATGACCCTGTTCCTGAGTCCCAACATCCACTGTATCCTCTAAATGCCCGGCTGTCATCTCATCTCCTTCCAGTGTCACCTCTGTAGGAGCCTCGATGGATACAATGCTCTCTGGAGTGGGTGGAGTCACATCATCCTCCACCTGCTGCGATATCTCCTGAATCTGGTCTTCCTCCACCTGCTGAGGAACTTGAGGCTTCATCATGTACGCCTCGTCAAATGTGACATCCCTGCTAATAACTATCTTCTTGTCTTGTGGATCCCATAACTTGAAGCCTTTAACTCCATCTCTAAATCCCACAAAGACTGCTTTCTTCGCTCTCGGATTCAATTTACCATCACTGACATGGTAATAAGCAGGGCACCCAAATATCCGAAGCGACTCATAGTCACTAGCTACCGAACCAGACCAGCGCTCCAACGGAGTCTTCCCCTGTATCACAGTGCACGACAACCTATTCACGAGATGGCTCGTATAAACCAACGCTTCGGCCCAAAAAGATCTTGATAATCCACTTTGTGTCGTCATACATCGCACCTTCTCTAGCAATGTACGGTTCAACCTTTCAGCCATCCCGTTCTGTTGCGATGTCTCACGTACTGTGAAGTGTCGTCTAATGCCGTGATCCCGACAAAACTGCAGAAACGGATCACTCTTATACTCTCCACCATTATCAGAACGTAGAGTCTTTACCTTTCTACCTGTCTGCAGCTCCACTTTCTTCTTCCACTCCACAAAAATATCCAGAACCTGATGTTTATGCTTCATCGGGTATACCTAATTTCTCCTGGAATAGTCATCAATGAAAGTGACAAAATAGTTGGCCCCACCAAGTGATGTGTGCTTGGAAGGGTCCCAAACATCTTTGTGAATATAGTCCAATATACCTTGGGTATTGTGAATAGCGGTGCCAAATTTCACTCTTGTCT